GCATACCAAGAGAGACGATGCTGGATGAGCTGAAAAGATAGCATTAAGGGATATTATCAAGAGAGCTGTTCCAGGCAACCAGGGATCGTGATCTATAGAGACGCATGAGCGCTTACGCCAGGTGGCAGGGTACTTGTTGATGATGACTGTTTTAGACATCACAATTCTATTCACAATCGAACCTACAGGTTAAATTGATAACTGATTTGGGACGAAAAGTGTTCACATATGTCTAAGCCAGTGTTCTTCAACCGGAAAAGTCCGGGTGTGCGTTAAGAAAACAAATTCTGCCTTATCATGTAATTATTTAGGGTAGGCAGTTTTTTCTCTTCTGGGGGTCTCTGTGGCGAAGGGGTCAAGCCGTTTGCCTAGCGCCCTGAAGGCCGTGGGTTCTCTCCACGGCCGCGCCCTTCAGTTCACGAGTGCAATTTTTACTTAGATCCTGGGGAGCTATGGAGTTCGTGCTCTATGCGGCGCTCTCGGCAGGCGGCTAGCCGTTTTACGGAGAGAGACTGAGCCATAAGGGATAAAACCCGATGCAATGAAGTCGGTCCTCTCCACTTTAACCGTAACCTTTAATCTCTTCCAGGACTGCAAACTTTAGAATTAATACATCAAGAATGAGAATCAAAAGATGTCGCATCATTTTAAAATGTTAATTTTGTGACGTCTGAATCTACACATAATCTCATTATCATCAGGGGCCCTGCCGACTGGCGTAGGCGTTCATGCACCTCCACAGATCTGGGTCCCCTGTCTTCTAGATCAATTTCACCAATAATATCCCTCCCTGCCACCGTCGCAATCCATCAGTCATCTTCTCTCTGGGTCTGCCTCTTCTACTGTTGATCTTCCTAGTCGTCACAATATTCTCCACCCCCTCCCCCCCCCTCACCCCGCCCCCCTACTCATCACAACACCAAAGAACTGGTGGGTCACAGCGGTAAAAAAATGGTTGAGGAAGACTGGTCTTAGACGTAGAGCCACAACCCCCAAACACCTCATTATTTTCAACTTTCTGAAATTGGCTTTTTTTTTTTTTTTTTTAAATGGTTTGTTTACTTCAGTTCTTTGTGTATACCCAGTTTCCCTCAGCTCTTCTGATTACGTTTTAATTTCATCCTTCGTTGAGCTTGTTTCATATTTATATTCATTAGTACTTCAAACGAACAGCCTTAAAAGTCTATGGTTAAGCACAAGCAAGGAGATACAAATTTGAATTTTGAGAGCATGCATCTTCCCTGTGGCTATGTACCAATGTGAGTCGTGACTATCTCTCAGTCCTTAAGAGAGATAATAGGGGCTTTTGAGCTCAAATGCTATAGAAAGATTCTCAGAATATCTTGGACAAAGAAGATGAGAAATATTGACATCTTAAGAGATCTGAACATCAAGGAAGATTGGCTAATAAACAGCATCCTTTCTCGAAAGCTGAAATATTTTGGTCATATCAAGCACTACGACGGATTTGAAAAAAATGATAGCAGAAGGCATGGTACCAGGAAGGAGGGGCAGGGGCCGACCGACACGAAAATGGGCACAGGATATAAGTGACTCATTGAGTGTGAAAGTACATAAGGCGGGAGAACTGGCGAGAGACATAGTTTCTTTCAGGCAGACTGTGATGAGAGCGACGTTCTGCAAAGGACCTGCTACACGATGATGATGAGTACTTTAGAATGCAGCAACACTTCTTTTTCCTTCTTTAACGGTAATAATGCATCAGACGTAGGGCGGTAGCCAGATTTTCAGAGATCAGCAAGCACTCGACGGGTGATGTGGTCAACATCAGACAGACCGTCTTTACTTTCCAGGTTCAGTTCTTTGAATACACGTAGGGGGTTTTTGTTTTTCTTAAATATGTAATAAGCAGGGTTTTAAACTGTAATTTTTTAAAGAAGAATTTAATGGCTAAACTCTGTGACGTCTTGAAATATTCAGAAATGTATTCTTCTTCTTCTTCTTCTTCTTCTTCTTCTTCTTCTTCTTCTTCTTCTTCTTCTTCTTCTTCTTCTTCTTCTTCTTCTTCTTCTTCTTCTTCTTCTTCTTCTTCTTCTTCTTCTTCGTCTTCTTCGTCTTCTTCTTCTTCTTCTTCTTCTTCTCTTCATTCTTCTTCTTCTTCTTCTTCTACTTCTTCTCCTTCTCTTCATTCTTCTTCTTCTTCTTCTTCTTCTTCTTCTTCTTCTTCTTCTTCTTCTTCTTCTTCTTCTTCTTCTTCTTCTTCTTCTTCTTCTTCTTCTTCTTCTTCTTCTTCTTCTTCTTCTTCTTCTTCTTCTTCTTCTACTTCTTCTTCTTCTCTTCTACTTCTTCTTCTTCTCTTCTTCTTCTTCTTCTTCTTCTTCTTCTTCTTCTTTCTTCTTCTTCTTCTTCTTCTTCTTCTTCTTCTTCTTCTTCTTCTTCTTCTTCTTCTTCTTCTTCTTCTTCTTCTTCTTCTTCTTCTTCTTCTCCTCCTCCTCTTTCTTCTTCTCCTTCTTTTTATTCTCCTTCTTCTTCTTGTTCTTCTTCTTCTTCTTTATCTTATTCTTTTTCTTTTTCTTCTTCTCCCTCGTCTTCTTCTTTTTCTTCGCCTTTTTCTTTTTCTTCTTCTTCTTCTTCTTCTTCTTCTTCTTCTTCTTCTTCTTCTTCTTCTTCTTCTTCTTCTTCTTCTTCTTCTTCTTCTTCTTCTTCTTCTTCTTCTTCTTCTTCTTCTTCTTCTTCTTCTTCTTCTTCTTCTTCTTCTTCTTCTTCTTCTTCTTCTTCTTCTTCTTCTTCTTCTTCTTCTTCATCTCCCTCCACGTTCCGGTGGAAAGTCCTGGTTGCTCGTCACTTTGGACTTTGACTTTGTGCCAGGGTATGAGGTTTTTTTTTTTTTTTTGTGTACATACGTTTTACTGGCGTATGTTTGTGCAGGTGGTCGTTATTTGCCGCTCGGGCTGCTGCACCTCAATTTGGAATCAAGTCCCCAATTCGTAAACTTCTACGACGTGCTTGTTTGACGACATTGGGTCTAATTATGTACCCCTCCCTACCCCCCCCCCCCCCACACACACACACACACACTCACACACGCACACAATGGTGACCCAGAACCAAAACGGGGAAGACAAGTTTAAAGTTTTAGATTTACTTTAGTACACTTTGATATGGGCTCCATTTGTAGCTCTGGGAGCTGCGTGGTCTCGAGGCATGGCATCCACCTGGATTTTTCACGTGGACTTCTAGTAATTTCCCGTGGTCTCTGGGTAGTAAGATCGGACGCCAGTGTTTATTTTTGTACACATAAAAATCCCTTAGCAGTTGGAATTTGAAAAAGAGTCGCCAAACGTCGCTGCCCAGGCAAAATTTAGAGTTAAAAATCTACCCAATGTACTTCAGGATCCTCGCCGGTGCACTTCGCTGAGATTCTTCGGACTCAGGTTTGAGTCAGAAGTAGAACGGAGCACTTATGGGTTATTACCCCTTTGACATGATGTTAATCCGTCCTCTAAAAGTAAACCTAAACTTAGTAGCTCTAGTGTTTGAACTACTGCAAAGTCCGCGGAATCGTGTCCAGAGTTATTGTTACAATTGATGCAGCGACACTCTCTGTGAGGCGCTAGATGTTCATTTACATTCGTCCCCATGTGGGATGCAATTTTTTTTTCAATTTTAAGCCTCACCCTGGTTTTTGCCAGGGGCCCTGAATATAGCAGGGCCATAAATATATCGCCTCATGGCTAAAAGGGGTTTCTGGGACCTCTCCACGGGTGATCCCCATCCGCATGGTGGCACTTTGTGTCACCAGGTGTGTATCGCTTGTATGCTGTCCTGGTGGGATACAACTACCTACCTAGATGTTCCTTGTCTTCTCATCGCCACATTATCCCTCACAGTTACACAGGCCCACATGAAACTTTAAACTTTTCTAAACACTATAAGACACCCCAGGTGTATGTACATACATACTTTTATCTAACAGTTTAAATTCCTGACAATCATTCTCGAAGACACTTTACTCTATATTCTCCGATACTTTCCTTTCACTTTGGTTCTACAGTTCTTTTAATATGCATTGCGTTTCCTTCATTTTGATATTGATTTTCGTTTTCCATTTTAATTTTAATTTTTATTATTGTGATTTAAATGCTTCACTCCTTTCTTTTTTAAATATTACACACACACACACACACACACACACACACACACACACACACATATAGACCTATATATGGGAACATGGAATGTACAAACCCTTTATACCAGGTAGTTGAATGGTTGCAAACCACGAGGCAGACAAAGAAGACGATAGAGAGATATTTTCCTTTTGTTGATATTGTCCGTGAATGTGATAAAAAGCAAGGTTGTGTTCTACACCTGACATATTTAAAGTTGGAAATATGGCTTAGTATTAGTTTGAGACTAGCATGACACCAGCTATGTATGCTTCTTGTATTTATCTCTGTTGGACAGAGACTGAGAGAGAGAGAGAGAGAGAGAGAGAGAGAGAGAGAGAGAGAGAGAGAGAGAGAGAGAGAAAGAGAGAGAGAGAGAGAGAGCAAATGAGAATGGGGGAGAGAGAGAGCGACCAACGAAGCATGTTTCAGATTATAGTAATTACACTGGAAAACAGTCTTTCTCTTCCTCCCCCTTTCCCCCTCCCCCACACACATGCACACACTCAGCACATACACTCATTCTCCTCTATGAATACCTCTTTTTTTTTCTGTCAATCTCTTTTTATATTTCAGAAAGACGGATACACAGGAAAAAAAATACACTTCAAGATTCTAGAATGCCATTTTATTTTTTGTTTGGCATCAATACAAATATTTTCATTCCCCCCCCCCCCCCCCCTTCCCCTCTATTTCCGTTAGAAATGTTTTCAAAACAAAAAAATATTTTCAGAAACATGTCTTCTTCGCTTTGAGTTAACAAACAAACACCCATTAGAATTTACTCAGTTTAAAAGTATAAATAACACGAAAACAAATATTCTACCGTGGATTTTAGTTGAAAACACCCAATTGTTTATTAAGGATCTATTAACCGTAACGGAAGACGTTAGAACTAACGCTTTTGTTGCCTCTTCCTGCGGCGTCTAGAGGACCGTTGTGAGCTCGCGCGGCAGCCGGCATGTATCCCAATGGCTGCCAGAAAATTCTTCTTTTCATTCCTGCAATCTGAGCGTCCTCAACGGTGTTTGGAAATGACAGGTCAAGGTTTTCAGTGTTGATCATTGTTCGTTTCTCCATCGTTTTATAGTCAGACAGTAAAATGTGCTCTTTAAGTGCCTCCAGAATAGCGCCCAATGACATGCTGTTGGGCAGATAGGAGTCCTGCAGGGTATCGTAGTTCACACTGTCCTCTGCGCGAAAGGATGATGGACGACAACAACAGACAGCGATTAATGCCAGAAATGTCACCATGAAGATAGCATAACTTGTCGGTTGCATGTTGTTACTGATGTTCGTATTTGTTTTGACTCTCTCGCAAATCTGCAATCAGAATTTCAAAAAATTCAAAAATAATAAGTAAAATTACATTAACAACATGATAGGCAGCAAATCCATTATGTTGTCTCTCATAGATAACACTTTTTGACTTATTCATCCTAATTATCAGCAATTGCTTCTCTGGCTGGCGTGTACCATCATTAATCTCACCATCTTACGACCTCCAACAGCATTTATCAGTTCTTCTTCTTCTTCTTCTTCTTCTTCTTCTTCTTCTTCTTCTTCTTCTTCTTCTTCTTCTTCTTCTTCTTCTTCTTCTTCGTAGGGTTCAACGGTTGTAAACCTCAGATGAAAATTCTGGTTGTTTGTCCATTTTTTGACCTAGGTCCTGTTTGAGAACTTAAGTTTTACATGCGCATTCGCTCTATAAATCTGACTTATTTCTATGCAGACTGTTGGTTCCTCGCTTCTCATGCAAATGCACTCTTGACTTTGAAGGAAACGCCTCTAATTATTCGGCTTTTACGACATGCTTGTAAGGGGGAAGCTGCTCTATCCCCCCCCCCCCCCTTACAATGGTACACATGAACCCACACGAGGGATATCAGTTCGTTTCTGAGATCCTTTCACGCCCGGATAAAAGGCTGTCAAACATTTTTTTCTTGTGTCTTTCTCTCGCTTTCCAGAAATCTTTCTCGATATCATAACACGTTTCAGTGTTTGTCTTCTTGTGATGCTGTGGAAAAGAATAAACTGGAGAATAGTGACAACTGAAACGACTGATGACAAGAGAGGAAGGAGAATACAAAATGATAATTATGTGAATGGCTTGGCCATAGGGATGAGCAAGGGTGAGACGTGACCGACCCCAGTTCTGGAGAGCTGATCCATGGTTCTGATAGTCGCGAAAGATGGTGAATCATGGCCGCCTACAGGTCCAGTATTGAGAACTAGGCCTTGCAGAATGGAGTCGAAGTTAGTTTTGCTTCTGTTAGCGCTTTGCTGATGCAGTTTCCTCATATCGATGGAAGTGTACGGTTTCGCAGCCTAAGCTACTGCGTTAAGTGCTTAGCACAGCTCTGTGAGGTTTTTTTTTTTTTTAAATGTGGAATGCCTTTCATTTGTTTAGCGGTTGAGACGTGGTATTCAATATGGCATGTGGTAGCTGGTTTATGTGTAGGCTGGCGAAATACCTTATATGATAATTTTACCTGTGTATAGCCAACTTATCGTGACCGACTACTTCCATCTACCACAAACTGCATTTTTAGTGGCGACTATTGGCTTTAGCACCTCTAACAACTGCTTTATGCATTTACTACATGTGCATTTTTCTGGACTGTACCGGGACAAAATGTTTGTTCACCAATACAGTGAAGGGAATTTCACTTTATTATTCACTGGCACGGGAACGGAACAAGTATGGGGATCACCCGATTGCAGCGAAGTTGAAACCTCAAGTAAGACTAAGACTAATCGGCAGGGCACATGATTATGATGACGATAATATGGCACACACAAAATGATAACCGCCTCATTCTGATATTTGTGATTTGTTGTATTCCAGTCTAAGCTCATTTCCAAATATCTAGAATACTTATTTTTGACTGTCCGCGGAATTTAACAGCACAAAGACGCATCTCCAACAAAGCATATTCATTACCTCCTACTGCTACCAGTACCAGACATAGTCACTCACAGCAAACCAGAAAAGAAAATTAGTAAATATGGAGCTGAGAGGTCTGAGAGTGGATACAGGGGTGACCGGGGGAGGGGTGAGGGGGGTGGGGATAAATTCAGAGATGAGGTCATGAGAAAAAAGTGGGCACTGAACCAGTTTTAACTTAAATACAAGGACAGCGAATAAAATGGTTTTCCTGCTTAGAGAGAGTGCCTTGTGACACCATACCATACACGGCATACACTGGCAGGCAGAAGAGCGGAGAGCACAGGGTAGACAAAGAACTATGTAGAAAGATAACATCAGAGAAATTCTACAATAGCACGGTGTAACTATTGTCGAGGTGACCAAAAGAGCAAGAAACAGAACCATAGTCTCCCTCGACATCGGAAGAGGTAAAAAAGTAAGTGAATAAGAAGAAAACAAATATAATCATCCTGGCATCCCCTTGTGGGGTGCAATTTTTCGTTATTTGAAGCTCTACTCTGGCTCTTGCCAGGGGCCGCAATATAGCCCGGCCATAAATATGGTATAATGGCTAAACGCGGTTTCTGGGACCTCTCCACGGGTGATCCTTATCCGCATGGTGACACTTTGTGTCATCGGGTGTTTATCGCTTTTGTGATGTCCTGGTGGGGTAAAAGAATATAGATAGATAGAAAATAGCAGGGAGTTTTAATCTTTGCCTCCCCCCGTGTGGGTTCCGGGGCCCCATTGTGGGGAAAACAAGAATAGACCGACTGCCTCCCCAAAAGCATGTCGTAAGAGTTGACTAATTGTGGAGCTTCCTTTGAAGTCGGAGTGCATCTGCCGGAGAGGCAAGGAACCAACAGTCTGTATTCAAGAGAATGAGATCTGTAAAACTGATGCACACGCAACACTCAGCTTCTGGAGCAGGACTGCAGTTCAGTAGTGGACGAGCAACCAGAACCTTCCGCCAGAGTTTACAGCTGGTGAACGCGAAGAAGAAGAAGATAATCTTTTCCTCAACATGAGTAAGACCGAAACTTTAAACATCGACCACATATCATACATATTTCCTTCGTTTTCTCAACTTTTATCAAATACCTCGAAAACTTACATACGGATCTATAGGAATTTTTGCATGTGGTCTGAGATTTCCAATATCCTTATGATTTCATAATTTACAACTGCACAGGTGATGTTGTTTTCTTACATGTCAAATCATTTGTAACCCTAAAACACACACACATTACACACACACACACACACACACACACACACACACACGGGGGAGACAGTGACTGCAACATTAACTTCATTAACCGTGTTAGACACGTGCGATTTCTATTTCATTAATATATCTGGAGTATCTGTCTACGAGAAAACAATTGCCTGCGGTTTTGAATTGTTTAAATCGCGACACAGTGGTAGGGACACATATGTCTAATAGTTGTGTTCTCTTTTCGTTGTTCCGATTAAGTGGCTGCTTGGTCGAATGGTTAGAACACTGTGTTCAAGTGCGGTAGACCTCGGTTCGAATCCGCAGTAGTTAATTTTTTTTTTTACCCCGGACTAAAATAATATCCTCATCTGCTCTGTAGTGGTGACAGCACTAGCCATGTTGCCTTAATATTAAAAAAAAAAAAAAAAAAAAAAACAGTAAATGGGTAAACCATTTGATAATTAAATTTGACCATTTCGCATACTTATGATTGCATTGTTAAACTTTCCGATTGCATGGTTACGCTGAAATTTTATAGATTTTCATTTATTTTCATTTAGATTTAGTTCTTTCATCTGTGTTGGAATTTTAAGCTGTGCTGTTTACAATGGCGTTCATTTCCTAATTATGGTGTTTTTTTCCTGTGTTCATTTGCTTTTCAAGTGTTGTTTTTTTTCCTCCCAACTACTTCAATGTGGGAAAGAGTTGTCGGTGAATTTGGGGGGAGGGAAGGGGGGGGCAAACTATTAACTGAGAGAGCTTTAAGTCATAGTAACTGCTTTACCCACTTAAAGTAGCAGCAGCAGTAATAGTTGTGGTTGGGCTGTTACACCATAGTGCTCTCATGTGAAGACCGCCGGTAAGGTTATGGCGTTCTTCTGTCGGCAAGTGAAATTATACATCCTAACCTGACCAGTCTGTGGCGACAGCACTAGCCATGCGGAACCAAATCTTCTGGCTCACGATTCTCTGTCTACTCCGATGGTAACACAGATAGCAGTGACATTATTTTAGTAGTTGTACTGGTACTTAAAGGATGTTGTGGTAAATATTTCACTAGCCCTATTCACTACCTTTTACAATTCCTGCTGGTTATTTTAGTCCAGATGGACAGGGATGTCAATGTCAGTTACAGCAACAACAAAATATCGCCAGTTAGTGATTTTCAAATCCTTCGAAGAGGGAGAGAGCAGTAGTCGGTGGAAGAGGGGAGGGGAGGGGGTAATGACTTAAATTTAAGAGAACTTAAAGAGCTTTACACGTGATTTTCAAGTTCTCATTACCTAATTTGTTTTATATTTACTACTAACGCTACCTCCGCTTTTCTATTTTTTTTTTTTTTACGACTTACTTTGTTATTTACAAGTACAGGTTGTAGCTTTACTTCCGTCTCCTATAAAAATACAAACAGCTTTAGCATGTGATAACCAAATAACACACTTTTGTAACCAGTTTTATTAGCTGTGGGTTTAGCTGTTGCTCTGTACATCGCTAGCGTGAAGCGAAGACACATTTCTGTCTCTATTTTTCCATGTAGTCAAATTACGCCACAGCAACGCGAGGCCGGGTACACAGATAGTATATATAATATATATATATATATATATATATATATATATATATATAATATATTTATGCACACACTTTTACAAAAAAGTAATGGACACGAATTTTGCACTTTTTATTAGCCAATCATCAAGCGTTATGGCGGTATCTGATGTATCCATTTCACTTTCCAAAATACGTGCGTCTTAGTTTCTCGCTCGGATTACCTCCAAATTTCAGGCAGTTTAATGTTTTGCCACTTTCGCCAACAGTCGTAAGCCATGTAATGTAAAAATCTTATTTTGTACTTTGAATAAATATCTGTATTTTTTTTTTTTTTTTTCAAATACCACAAATAAGGTAATATAAGGACTAGATATTTGTTTACATTAGCACTACTTTCCCATAAGGACTTGATTATTAACAGGTTGCGTGCAAATTACACAAATCTACACCAAATGGTTACTGAGTTACAACTGTTAAAAGTTGAGCGCTATTTTTTTTGGAATGGACTGTTGCATATGGGAGCCATTTTTAACGTAGTGACTGGACATTTACCTGGCGACCCGAAGGTATGGGATTTAAAAA